CCCCTGCTGCCTTAGCTAATAGAAATAATGGGTTATGGGCAGGGACAAGGGGATATTAGGCATTGTACTCTGAACTGAGAAGCTCACTTAACCACTTCAGGGATGCCCCACAGCTTCTCTCTTTGGTGAAGGAATCTGTGTCATCTATTAGCATCAGTAGGTTACCAGGGAACAGTTCCAATGTTCTCAAGTGAGAAACAAAATCTGACTTCTCCATTATAGTAAATGGACTTGATGCTGGGCATATTGCAGAGGCCTAAATAGCTTTTGCTCCTGTCAGCAATTTCCATGAAGAACGTTGGGTTGTTAACATTTTTCTTCAAATGTTTTTGGACTTTTGTTGGCGGAAAGAACCCCAAACTGTTTCAGTCTTCAGTACCCCTTAGAGTTTTCACCAAATGCCCATCGTGGGTGAGATCAGACATTTCCTGAAGAAGTTTCCATTTGAACAAAAATAGTATTTGTTGTCAATGCTCAGAAATCCTACTAGGTACTAGTTCTGCCATGAGCAGGCCACTGGAATTGCAGAGGCTGCTGGGTAACTTGCTTACTCTTGGGGAGCAGGAGAAGGGACACACTGTAGCCTATTCGTAGTTCCTTGGTTGACCCGAAAACCTTAATGACATGGCTTTAGAACAGGGGTGGGCAGAATGGTGGATCTGGCTAACAGCTGGACTCCATTTCCCAGCAGCCCCTGCCTGTGTTGCTGCAGCGGGCATCCGTGAAGACCGTAGAAGTGGCAGGGCAGTGACAGGGGGGCCAGGGTTTCCATGGAGACCAGTCCCAGCAGCACTGGCAGGGCATGCAGCTGGGTGGGGAGCTGCTCCGGGGCTTGGATCTCGCAGCAGTGACGGCATGGTCCAGAGCCAGGGCAGAGCTGTAATTCACTGCCTGCACGCCCCTGCCCAGGGCAGTCAGGCAGTGGCTCTGCCCCAGCTCCAGACCATGCTATCACTGCTGCAAAATCCTGGCCCTTGGAGCAATTCTCCACCCACTGCTTTGCCACTTCTGGGGTCTCCATGGAAACTGGCTGCAGGAACACAGTCGGGGGCTGCTGGGAAATGGAGTCCACCACAGTCCCAATCCGGCCCGCGAGTTGGATTTTGCCTGCCCCTGCTTTAGAACCTGCTGTTTTACTGATTTCTGGGAGTGAGCCTCTGATTGCCAGTCTCAGTGGTGGAAAGTTGGGATTCCCTACCTTTGTCAGTGAAAGCTGATGTGGGACGGTTAGGTCATTTTGCCCTCTGGTGTCAGTCTCTGGCATGGCAGTAAGTACCACCTGGCCTTTATGAAACCTCATCACAAGCCAGCTAGGTGAGATTCAGTTGGAGCTCACTGTAACAGGAGGGTGGGCAGGGTTGCCGTGCTCTCCCCTGCTGCCTCCTTTACCGTGCCAAGCTGCCAACTAGCACCCTCAAATTCTCGCCCGCCACGACTTTGATCTCATATATTTATTTTATAGGGAGGCTGCCTTTCGTCCTCTTGTCCACGGTTCCCCTGTTATCACTAGTTCCTTTCCTGTATTGGGTGTTCTGTACACCCCAGCCTTATGGGCTATGCGTGGCTCCAACCACCCCCGTACCACGCCCCAAGCCTCGCAGATGTAACTGACGTTGTTCGGTCTCCCTCTGTGCCCTCTCTCTTCCTCTGTGCCCTCGCTGGTGCTCGGGCTCTCTGCATCCCCATCACTCTCTGGGGCTGGGGTTCCCACACTGCTGTGGGTCCCCTGTGAGGCCTCCTCCGTCCCCTCTTAGCCTCACGCAAACCACCGGTAACAAACAGCAAATGAAACACAAGCCCCTGAGCTACAATGCAAACTCTAGCTGTCTGGCTATAACATTAATCCAGCCACCCCTAGGGTGCTCCATCCTTTACCAGTCTCCCACAGCTGATGCGTTCAGGGCTCTTCCCTCTCCTCGCTCAGGCAGAGAGCTCCTTCCCCTTTGTCTGCCAGCAGGGAACTGCCTCCGGGCCTCCAGCCTGTGATTTACATAGGAGCCAGGCCCTGGCCCTTCTTGGTCAGCTAACTAGGCAGGTGAGGGTCACTAGTTTCCTCTAGTTGCCTTAGCAACCGGCACCTGATGAGTTATCCTGGCTCTCCAAGTAGCAGGCACCTGAGTGAGTGTAGCAGGGCACTAAGACTTTGACAGTGAACTTGAAAAGCCTCAGACTTTGAAACGTTTTCTGCAGCTGCTGTTCTTTCAGAAGAAAGGTTCCAGGAAGATGATAGAGATGTGAAGGAATTATAGTATGCAAGAACAGGGGATTGGATTTGGGACTGGAGGATTTCCTGGGTCGTCATGTCTTTATGTGCATCATTCTTTTGAGAGTGGCTGGAGAGATTTGGATTGGAAGGCTGTGAGAGGTGTGCACTGTATGTGATTGTAATCATGTAGTGGGAAGATGAAGGGTGTCTCAAACAATTATAGGGTGGACAGAGGGACTGGGTTGGAGGATAAAGGTGGACTGAAGGGTGAAAGTAGTGGATATAGCCATGTTTTCTTCTTTCTGCACAGATCTGAGTACAAGAAGCATTTTGAAAACCGGAATTTGCTGGCCTTTTCAGTGGAACCACTTCTGATTTACCCCACACATTACACTGGTGACGATGGTTACATAAGCGATACCGAGACCTCGGTGGTTTGGAATAATGAGAAAGTAAAAACTGACTGGGACCGTGCCAAATCTCAAAAAATGAAAGAGCAACAGGAGCTGAAAAATGAGGCGAGGAACTCAGATGTGCTCCAGTCTCCTCTTGACAGTGCAGCCCGGGATGAACTATGACCAGAGCAGGCCCCTGACAGGGAAAGGAAAAAGGGACTGAGAGGTATAGGGTAGACGGCAGGAGGAGAGTTATAGTAGTAACATCGTTTTTGTGGGGATTACTGGGCTTTCCTTTCCTGTCCAAGGATATGATGGCAAAATAACTTACAGAAAAAAGCCCACAAGGGTTATGGTTGGAGCCCTACTGATCACTGCTGTTTTCAGACTGTAGGAGGGAGAATGCTGGAGGAAGTCAGGTTTGCCAGGCAAATTCATTTAGCTATTGACAGATCCATTGTGCGGCGGAGGTCTTCATACAGCCAGTCACTGTAATGGAGAAGTTTTATTCTTCAGTTTAGGAAATGGGTACCTGGTAGAAAATCTCTTTTCTTGCCTCTGTTGCCACATATGTGCATCTGCACTGGGAATCTCTCTCTTGACATTTGACTGTTCCTTTGGGGAAGAGGGCTGAAATGCAGGCAGATCCTGCAGATTCCAGGGAACAGTTTGGCCTAATATATAGCCTGAGGTCCCCTCTCTGTGTAAGACTTTTCTAGTTTTGTGAAATGTTTGGCTATGGCTTGAACTATGTTCTGCCTTCTTGCAAACAGCCCAAAGTGCCTAGAGAAGGAGCACAAGAAGTACTGATATCTCCTCTATTAAGCTCCATCTTGTACCTTAACTGAGTGCTGGCTTCTTAGCTCTGGAGGCTGAAGTGTATTTGCAGGATGGGCAGCAGTGGCACACAGCCCTTAGGCTGTCTAACCCTGATCTAGAGGAGCCTAGAGATGAGAGGGGGTCTGAGAACTGGTGAATCTTGAGTCTTTGCTTGGGTGGGTACTGTACTGATCCAGTCAGTTCTGCCTGGAAGAATAATTGAAAATACCTACAAAATGCTAAGAAATGTCTGTTTTTTTCCCCATGCATCTTCCACTGTACAGGCAGCTCAGATCCTCTGGGAAAGGTCTGGCCTGCCTTCTACAATGAGGGACTGCTGGTTTTTACTCTCTCTCCTGCTGTGGATAACCAAATACTCTCCTCCAGGTGGAGACTTGAGAAGAATACTTAGTTTGTCTTCCATGATGGGATGTAGGACCTGGGGACAGATGTCCAGATTTTGGTCGTGTTGTCATTTCATCTGTTTGTTGCCAACCTATTTCCTGGGTCACTTAAAGGACTCATGTTCTAGACAATGATTTGATCTCCAATTTTTGCTTCAGTTTTCCGCAGGGCTCTGGTAAAGCTTTCTGTGCACTGCCCCCAGTCCCCATGGCTTTTAGTAGGTTGCCTGTTTTTATTTTGTTTTTCATGCTTTTCCTTTTCTTTGGGTTATGAATCTTTGCAATGTTTCATGTTGGGTCACATGACAGAACTAGCTGAAATGTCGTTTTCTTTTCTGGGCTCATAAAAGGCACCTTGAGAGCAAAATCCTCCTTGCACTGAAATGCCCCCTGTTCTTCTCCTCTCCAGACCACTTCCTCCTTACAGCTTCTCACAAGAATTTCAGGTTTGAGTATCTCCTGCCTGTTTTTTTTTTAGGTATAATTTTGAAGCCAAAGCTCCTCTGGCCTTGTGTGAGTGATGCAGCTGGGAACAGAAGCTGCCTTTTAAAATAAAGTTTGAATTGAAATTCTCTACTCGGGTGTTGCAAATGATGGTGGGGAAGAAAAAGGGGCTTTGCTTGAAGCTGACAGCAGAGGGAGGTGGGGCAGGGTCAGTAGAGGTTGCTGGAGGGGGAAGGGACCCTGGGGGTCAAAAGCACGAGGCTGAGGACCCTGTAGACCTTGCTGCAGGGGGTACAGAGGCATTGCCCACACAGGCCTGGGGGTAGGTCTCATAGCAGGAGCCCTGAACCACCAACCATGGCATATATGCCCCCCTCCACCCTGGTAGAGACATGTGCAAAGGCCAGCCCAACTAGTGCCATACTGTGCATGTGCAACTTGGAGGGGACCAGCTGTGCAGTAGGACCTCCGCTGAACTTTCCCCGCACGTGCATACCTAATGTGTTTCCTCCACCCCCGCCCCCCCACCCCAGGTGGCACATGGGCAGAGGCCAGCTGGATGGGCACTACAATACACATGCATAATCAGGAAGGTGGGTCTTGCTGCATTGTGCATGAGTGACTGGACTGGGAGGGGTGGGTGTCCTCATGCCCTTGTGCAGTCTGCACCCCGTTCACTATGCATGGCCAGGTAAGAGCTCTCTATGCCTCCCAAGCCCACTTAGCCCGTTGACAGGGCCGCTCAGCCAGTCACAGCAGGAGGCAGGAGAGTCCAGTGTGCCCGGGCCTCAGAGTGTGCCACCAGACCAATGAGTGTTGCCATTAGCAAAGGGCCAGGACTGGTGTGGTCTGCCCTAGTCAGGTCCTTGTGGCCACAGCTGCCCCTGGGGATGGAGCTCTACCCATGGGAGTCACTGAGGCCATAGCTGGCACATGTGTTACTCCCTGCAAGGACTCCTAGTTCCTGGGGCTGCCTGTCTGCCCTACTCCCTGCACCCAGCACTGCACAGCCCAGGAAGGGAACCCTGCTCTGGACTGCACCACAGAAATGCCCCCCATGTACTGCCCCTGGTATCCCATAACCCTCACCCCAAACCTCCCCATGGAGAAACATCTGTGATCCCAGTGTGACCCCTTGACCCTGCCAGGTCCTCCCCAGCACCCATTCTGAAGCCCCAATGCTTATATTAGGGCTCCATGTGCAGCAGCTGCTGGGGGGCAGCCCTGGCCTGTGCACAGCCTCTGCACACGATGACGAGGTGCAATGCAGAGTGATGCTCAGATCTGGAGGCTCCAGTAGAACCAGAAGGTACAAGTCATTAGAAATGACAGGAGCTCGCAATACCAGACAAAAATTATACACACAAAAAGACAATATAACAAACCAAACTCCTCTCCCACCTATCCCACCTCACCCCACCTATTGCCACTTCCTACCACTGACCTAGGAGAGGGTCTCCATATCCAACACGTCACTACATAACCTCGTCACCATGTCCAGTAAAGAATGCAGTGCATTTCCCCATGTCCCCCCCTTCACCACCCAAACGGTGGGACTCCTCCACCTAACACCCATCCCTCCCTTATTGTCCTCCCCCAAGTCTGTGCCTGCCTCTCTCTCAGGGAGAGTAATATCTGCAGAGCATGCATCCACAAAGCAGGGGCAGCTGTGGAGAATACTTTCCTTCAGACCTCTGCCTGAAACACTGCTGAGTCCCCTATGTGCTTCGTGTCCAGCCTCGAGCACCCAGAGAGCAAAACCCTGGGCATTCCCTTTCCTCCCCCATGGAGGATTTGGCCAGCTGCCCACAGCTGATTCCAGGGGGCTGGCTCCACCTCTGCACCCCCCGGTTGCTGCAGGACAAGAGTAGGAGGAGAGGAAGCTTTGGAGCTCCCAGTACAACGTGGGGGATTTTACTTGCGACCCTCC